ATTATTTTCTGCCATTCTCTGGTCCGGCCTTCATTAAAACGTGAGTGTATTTTGAGCGCTTTCAACTGATTACCCGAATGTGCTTCCACTGATTGATATGTACCATGAAACCCGCGTGTGCCTCATGGATTATTGGCATCTGTTTGTTCAGGGGAGGCGGAACCTCATGGCATGATGACGGATTGTCGTTCTACCTACAGCTGGGTATGGTAATGCTTTTATGTAGTCCAGCTTGTAACCGCAATCGCAAATCCAAATACAATGCACAAATTTATTCGCCAAAAAGCGCTCGACTGAGAATCATACCTAGCAGAAGATTTCTCCTCAAAAGCAACCATAGGATGTTAGCCACGACCGGTACTCGGAAATCCGTTGACATGCCTTGCCCTTTTGAGTAAATGTCTGCGTCGGAGCGAGTGAGCAACCCAGAGTCAGTAAGTCATCCTCTACTTTTTTGCGGTAATCTTATGATAAGAAACATCCGGTTCAAAAAAATTTCGAAGGATTGGTGTTGCGGCTTAATTTTTTCCAACTGATCGGATAGGAAACGCTTCATCTACAAGAAAACATGGACACATAAGTCAAGCAACTATTACGCAGGCGTTTGAGAACTGTAACTAAATTCTCCTGTCAGATAAAGCCAAATGGGCCTAATTCTCGCCATACAAAATAAGTTAGGACAGGTTGAGTACCAATTTCACTGACGACTCTTCCATGGACCCATGTCCTTTACCGAATAACCAAGATTCCGTGAATCCATAAGGCGGGAGGGAGTATTGAAAGAGCCGCGATGCCATCCGTAGTTTGGATCAAATAGCATATCAACGAATAATGGGGTTAGTCATGCTCCCAGAGAAAGATGATTCAGGCAAGCTTCGTCCTAACTGCGTACTGCTGAAAAATAACCGGACGTTACTACAGCCATCTCTGTCATCAACAGCGCAACATCAGCATTCTGCACTGATGCTTCTGCGCAGTACAACCATAATTCACTCGGTAGCTTTATTGCGAACAAAAGAATATGAGGGAATGTGGAAAGGTTAGCTTACGACAATCAATCGTGTACCTTCAAACACACTAAAGTAACTGGATAGAAGCCGACAACAAGAACGCTATTTACACCGAATAGAAATCCTATCTCTCGGCGTCTCCAACCATGCATACGAAGAATCATCCGAACACCATCCTGGATGGTGATTTACACTGACAGTACCCAGAACGTTTATAATCGCACTCACACATCTCTTCCACCCCTCTGCTTGGATCATTTCGAGCTGGGCACGGAAAGTAATTCTTCTTGGTAAACGATGACTCGGAATGCTCAATACATGACCATACCATTGTAGCCCTTCGTACTGGACACATTCTTCAACTGAAGTCTCTGTTGCACAACTGAACACCCACCTGATTTTTCTGATGCGGATTCGTTGATACCACCCCATATGAACCATAGTTCTGAGACAACGGTGGTCGAAAACTTGAAGACATCTCAGTTTCGCTGCTCTCAGAAGCCACATCTCAAAACCGTACAAAGCAGCCTGATATACACGTCCGTTGAGATCCGGGGATGTGGAGTTTTGTCAACATAGGCGTCTCCGATTAGCAAACACTAGCCAAACCTTCGCCATTCGTGCATTAACTTCAGTCGTCACGCTACAATCGGAACTGTTACAGCCTCCAAGATATGTAGAACGCTCTACCACCTCTAATGCCTATCCTTGGACTGTTCAGTAACTGTCCGCATGGGTGAACGGGATGACGTTGGTCAGTCCGTCCGAGAACACTAGTCATTTCCGTTTGTCTTTGAAGACGAGGACGATGTCATCTGCATTTTCCAGAGCGATAGGGTTTCTGTGACTAGTTATTTGAACACGGCTTTTGAAAACCTTTCAGCGTCCATCTCATCATCTGGTCGACCACAATATTGAATGGGAATAGAGGGAGTGGGCATTTCCGTCAGAAACCACATTTTGTTCGGGCAGTTAACTATCTGAGTACGTCTCAGTCATCGCTACCGAGACTACGTCCTGTAAGGCTGTAGACAGACTTTTAGTTTCCACTAAACGGTTGCCGCGCACCATCCAACAACCGCATGGTGTGCGCCTGTATGAAAAAACGACCGTTTCGCCCAGTTGTCAGGAAGCCGGTTAGCACGTTCCGTTGATCAAAACACGGGCACAGGCGTGTTCAGATTAGAGTAACTCAGATCACTCTCTACCCTGGTACGCGATCGCGTGACTGAATCGGTTGGTCATGGATGTCTCACTGAGACTAACACGGATGTTACGGTAGCTGATTAGATATCCGAGAGAGCATGTCAGGACAATCGATGGGTCTTGTGACGTGGCAATCGCAGCACCTTACCGGTTACTTCGGCGCTGAAGAACGGGCGGCTAACGTCTGAATGTTGTCCTGCTCTTCTGTGAGTGTGCACACAACTCTGAGTCTAATGCGCGGCGATTCAACCTCATGAAAGTTGGCGTTCGATCAGTTTCAAGTTGGGATAAGTTTCGAAGGGCTCGGGGCGTGTGCGATACCAAAAAGACTTGCGGACCTCACAAATGACGGTTAACTTCTCCACTCACTCAATTATCCAAAAGGTTGAGGAGAGCTCAAGAGGCAATGAGGGATAGTCTGCTCCGGATTCCGGTATATTTTTCCACTCCGTTGAGAATAGGCACTAAACGTGTCTGTCTCGCTGAACTGCCAGTTTGAAGGTCTGGGCTGAGTACCAATATCTGTCCATAAACATGCGCGTCGGAATGTCACCTCTTAATTTTTGAGGTAGTACTTCAAGCGACAGCTGAAAATTTATGACAACAGAATTATTCTACATCTAAACATTAAGCATTTTAAAAACGTATTTCCTGACTATTTACGGCATGAACAGGTGTTGAAACCAGTCAGATAATCCCTGAAAACTCGAATACGCCAGAGAGCCTAAGCTGCCACACCAATCAAGCGTTCATTAATGATTCGAATGTCGTAACATGGCCAGCTTACATGTAACCGCACATCGCCTCAAGTCCAAATGGTTAATTGAGACCAGCTAAGTTACCGGATAATTTGATTATTAAGAATATTCGCAATATGTATGTTTATGCAAGTAAACAGACAATCGGTACCAACGTATTATCACTCTTAACTTACCAATCAGAAATTGGCTCAACTCCCCGTGGTCTCATCAGTTGTGTGTCACTTTAATATTCTAAGATTTGCCCACCAAAGTGACAACGAACTACTCATCTTACAGAATGAACAGAAATGAATTTTCTAATCTCTCCATGATTTGCGCATCCCGTTGTTCATTTCCTGGTATGGATAACGAGCATACCATACGATACATGCATCATTCTGACGTTTAGTCCATTAGATGCAAAGACTCTTGCAAGCTCTAGTTCTTGAACAGTGCAATAGCACATCTGTCAACGTCTACACTGAAAGATCAACGTGAACCACTAACTTCCGTTAATGAAGTAGAATAGTATCGCATCCATGAGTTGCGGAAAATGCAATTTCAGTCGCTAGATGAAAGACACCGTATTTTGGTGAAAGTAATTCAGGTTGTGATGTGAATCAAGCAAGCAAGTGGTGCTTTCGCTGGTTGGTGTCACGTCTGTACATCCACATCACTGAAAGTTGTATTGTTGTGATAAAGAAGGGACTTGCTTCCAGCCTACGGCAATCACTCCGAGGTGCCTACACCTCCAGACACTCATTAATGCAATCTGGACAGAGACTGACAACAAGAATGCCATTGACAACGAGTATCGACCATATCTTGAAACGTTTAAAACCACGCAGCGAGGATCCCATTCTGGAAGACGAGTAGCACCGACAACACCCGGACGTTTCGTAATCTGTCTCAGACCCCTCTGCCAGGTGAAAGGTTGATCATATTTTTTTGTGCCATGATGAATGGGGCAAAGAAAACAGCACTCTCCGGCAAACGACGGTTCAGCATGTGCAATACATAGCCTAACAGCTCAGCTTCTGGTGCTGGACAAACTATTGGACGGAAGTTCCCGTTGCACAGCCGAAAGCTCGTTTCCCAATTATTTCGTTGCGGATTCAGACAGAAGAACATGCTATGGTTCTGAGACGACTGTTGTCGGAGGCCTGAAGACATCTCAGTTTCGCTGTTCGCAAATACTACGCCTCGCAGCCATACAACAAAACTGTAGCATGCTACACACATCTTTATTCAAGATACTTGCGCCATTCAAATTCCCAATGGTTTCGCTCACAAGCGGTTTTAGGTGACCGGTCGCACGGATTACACGAAACAATCTTTGAGCATTTCTATCTTTCTGAGCCTTTTCTATTTTCTTAACCTTTTGCATCCATCGGGCTTCGGGGTCACTGATTTTGACTTGGCGCCTGATAATTTGTCGAGTTGAATAATGTCCGGGGTTGGCGGGAACATTTCCTCGAGATTTGGGCAATGTCCTTGTTCTGTCTGATATTCAGTTTTTTAACGGACCTGACAGCAAAGTGCCACAAGTGAAACTCCCAGCACCGTGCAAAGACGTGGCGATCTCGATAAACCACGCTTTGAAATCCGATCGTGGAACAGTTAGAGGAGAGAATTCACGATTTAGATACATTCGTTTAACTTCAGGATCTGTCACTCTCGGTTGCGTAAGCGGACACAACAAACAGAAGGATCGGAATTGTCACTTCTGCCCTTCACGCTAACTTCAGGATCTGTCACTCTCGGTTGCGTAAGCGGACACAACAAACAGAAGCGATCGAAATGTCACTTCTGAGACCCCTTCACGCATACTACGAGCTGCAAAAGGCGACTATCAACGGGTATACAACATACAAGTAGCCTTCCGCCCAGTGACTTGGGACGTTACCGGCCTATACACCGGCGGAACGTATTCCCTACGTAAATGAAGGATGATTGTAAAATGTTTTCCAGTATAAGACGAACGCCTTGCGCCTCCCTTGGTAGTGACCATACGTAGGTGGATACTCTGAGATTCAACTGACTAATGGTTAAAGACACTGGCAGAAGTGGTCCAATCGCACAGCCAGTGGCACTCGTACATCAAAGAATTCAATGCGTAGCTAACCAGTTACCGAACTAACTGAACATACTTCCGGTGGTCGAGACTGTAGCAGCTGAAATCAATGTGCCCATGGTACGCGGTTTATGGCTAACAAACTGATTGATTGAATGACCATATCAACATTTCAGGGCACTTAACCTTAAGACGGCGAAAATCAACATGGTTGTAGGCGGTTATGGGGCTTGTAGGATTCACGGTTACATCACTTTCGTTTGAACACTCCTCATTCCGTCTTGGATCATCTTAACCATCACGGACAGCACGATATCAGTGTTCAGGTTTGAACTCTAGATATTTGAATAGGTTAACGTGTTCACGTTTGATCGATGCGATCGGTTTGCCCGACGCCTCGAACGACCACCTAGTAACTGACCTGGTAGTGCCGATCGAATGACTGGCATTATCAGGGAGCGCCACGGATGTCTGGAACATACGGGATAATTTTCGATTAATTGTGTATGGTTGCAGTACTCACCGGAATAAGTGCACTAGGAGAGGACTGTTGAAAAACGAGAGTGACGTGAACGTGAATTCAGCAATGAACATCGCAGTGCGATTCTGCGGACAGCTGGTGAAAGGTCTTCCTCAACTTCCAAACCAAAAATTGTCATGGGTGTTCTTCTAGTGAACTGAAATCCTAAGCACAAATCGCTCATCAAACCACATTGGGAAGTATTCAGCTCAAAACAGAATGGGTGTGAGTCAGAATACTTGGGGACATGCAAGCCAGCGTTCAATGTCTCAATTACGCGTCTTGTCCAGGGCAGAACGACCATTACCGGGTCCGTTTGACGTCACGTCCGGACCATCAAACGGAAAGCGCTAACGGCGGCTTGTTTCTGAGCATTACAGAACTACTTCAGATGGTCAGTGATTACGGTCGTATCCGGGCAACTGTGGACATTCGTGTCGTTCAGCATATTGTGGGCTCTTTAAGCAGTGCCTAGTGTTTACATAAGAGTACCACGAATTAGTTCCGTGTCGAAAATATTTCTAACGACGGAGCCATCTGGATTAGAATGTGGATTCAGCTTCCTAACTACTCATCTCAAATAAGGCAGTAGTTTGCGGCTTTTGGGTGTTTTATGCACTTTTAGGTTTAATGTACTCGTTGCACCGATATTGACAGGCGCACCTACGAAGAGACGAGTGATTTTCCGTGTGAACTATCACCGCCAGCGATTCCACCGAAACCTGCAATTTTTACCTGTCCTAGTAGACTGAGTGCAACCTTTGGATGCACACAGATCGATAGTCAGGTTGTTCGTAAAGAGCAAGGCGGGATTATTGCCTAAGAAACGACGGGAGAAACGTTATAAGGCTTGCAGGCTACTCATTGGTTACCTGATGTAGTAGGGAATCGGTTGTGACCGCCAAACTTAAGGAACCAGTTACATTTTGTGCAACCATTGAGGGGTAACTGGGTATAATTTCACCTTAATGACAACAATGAAAAATAATGCTGATCAAATGACCGCATACTGGAAGATTTTCAAGGCAGCTGGATTTGTTTACTTCTTATCCATGGATTTAAATCAGGATACTCCATGCGCGAAACCCCATGTCGAGAATCATTAATAGGATTCGCCAACAGCTGTAACGGCACGATAGCAGGCGATGTCACTGACGCCAATTGGGAGTGGATTAAGTGAAAATAGGCAATCCTGGCTACAGGGTTGCAGATACAGCGAACCAAGGCTGGGGGTGGAAGCTAACCTCAACCAGACAAAATTTTCACACCCGATTAACCGAGATAGTAGTGATATCGATGGTTTCAGGGCCTTTCTTGGTGCTAAAAGAACTCCTCTTGGTCGGGAGTGTTAGTCATCGTGGACCATTTCTCCAGTGATTTCTCGCAGCGGACTACCCTTATTAGAAGCTTGCCCACAAGTGAGGATTACCGTACCACTTATCCAAAGATGCTTCCCTCTAAAATCTATTCCTATCTATGTAACGACTGAGTAAAAAAAATTGAGTGGAGCGATTCTACAGTGGTTGTCCTAAGCGCATCGCGAATAGCACTATAAGTTGAACACCCAAACTCAAGAGACTGGCTGATACTTTACGCCCCGAGTAGCGCAGCTTGCAAAATCTCGTGTGTGGTTTGTGCGTTGTAAACGCTAATATACATACCACATTTTGTTGTAAGTGATGATCGGTTGGGTGGTGTCATTAAAAAATGACATTAGTTTCAACTATGACTAGCACTCAACTTCCCAATTTCGTGACAAATATCACATTCCACCGGCGCACTATTTATCAGAACTTATTCACAAATTTGGACAGTCGAAGTGAATTGCACCGTCACGCGGTGGTACAGTGTCCCCTCCCGATAAAATAGCGACGTGCTTGGTGGAGTATGCTCCAATGAAGAATCAACTGTTCCACAGTAACACCAAGTTGCCGGAATTCAAACGTATCAACATATTGTTGTCGCACGGTTACCGAAACGAGCAACGCCGCTGAATTATCTTCAGACACCACTGTTCACGACTTGATGCACAGTACTGAGGATGTTTCATATCATTTTCAAAAACCACCTTGAAATCCAACAGGATGAAACATCAGGCTAACCACACTGAAACAACGGATCATACAGCACATTCCTGCGAAAAAGATCAATAAAACTAGTTGTCTATAAATCTATAATAGCAACTTTATGTGAGGATAGATCGTAACCGATGGGCTGGTGATTAAGTAAGTGAACCGGGATGTCATGGTGATAAAATATTTAGGGAACTTTGGGCTTTGAATCGTCCAAACAAGGGAATGATTTGTTTGACTGGGAAAGGAGATTTTGCAACTCTTCGCGACAAATGGCACGAAAAAGTTGAAGAAGGTCGCGTTCATTCACGCGAGCGAAGGCCTCTTCATTCGGTGGGCAGGTCGTGGGTCCACCGCCCTTGTAGACCGCACCATCTAGACCATGCATAAGAGCGAGGAGTTGCGTCAGACACAAACGACGAAGTAGTGCGTTTAGCTCAGACATATTGGAATCAGCTAGGGGACTCAATGAGCTCTGAATTGTGCCAGTCTGATTCGGTGTGGTCGGATGCACACCGCAATTATTGTGTTTACTCATGGCTTCTATGTGATCGTTACAAGTAAGGTGCAATCTTGCGGCCTGTCGATCAGGCAAAGTTACTTGACAATACTCACAGAAGAGGTGGGATGTTTCAACTTTTTCGAGGCCATAAGACCGGGTTGCGTCATTCCTGATGGACGACGTGACTTGCCCAGGTGTCCAACCTGGAGTTTTCTTCATCGCCAGTAGTGCAATAACTCTTTGGTGTTTCTTTCCTATTATATGAGCATCTTTAGCGGCCAACGAAGGCAAAGGAACTTGGCAGTCTTCACAAAACAACGGTTGCTGTGGGTCCTCACTGAGCCATTTATTTGGCCACTTTTTCGGATTGTTCCCTGTTACGTAACGATTGGCGGCTGAAGCCACTCGCTCTCGGTGGTTGGCAGACTGAGTATGTGCGTACAGGTCATTGTTAGAACCGAAAGTTTCGTTGCATAGTCCACACAAAAAACTGTCTCGGCCACGAGTGGATTCTGTTGGTGAGACACAGACTTCAACAGAGGCTGCTTGTTCCTTAGGCCTAGCAGGTGAAGAGGCTGGTTTGAGGTTTTCCTTTGGAAAGTTCGTAGTATCTTCATTCGTTCCACAATCCACATTATAGATATGATCCCAAAATTTCTGGGTATCCTCGAATTTAGCGTCACAGTTGAAGCACTGAAGAATTCCAGATGCAGTTTCGGCCATTGTCTAGAATGCAAAAACAGCATATTAGGGAAGACCTGCGATAAAATTCATTGGAAAAATGGAAAACCGGATGATACAAGTAGCTGGATGTTTGCAAGTTTTTGCTGAACGTGCAGATGAAACAAGATCTGAAAATAATCGTAAGGGAGCAAAAATACTTTTGAAGGAAAAAATTTGCGCCCCTCAGTAAACCTGAGTGACATCGAAATCATGAACGACAGCTGGTGAATTCAAATCCAAGTGAAAGTGGTGAATGTCGTAGCGCATAGTGGGCACAATACGTGAAAGTTAACTCATTTCAGTTACAAACCATGTGTCGAAGCACAGTAGTTCCGGTTGCTTCAGTTTTGTTCATCGGAGTTAAGGAGAACAAGGAAGTGAAAGCCACATGAAATACCCTCCAACATAACGGTGCTTAGTGTGACTAACTGACTACTTATATCATTCGTCAGGATAAGGGCATTACATCAACCGCAGATGATCGCTTCGGTCTGTTTCGTGCTCCAGTGTTATATTCTAACAGTTGTTGCCCTCAAGGACCTTCGATTCCGCATGCCTTAAAGGATGTTACGACTAAGGAAAGTAAGTGGACTAAAACGATGAAATCGTCCACTCCCTGCCAACATTGCAGTTACGGATTAAAATGATGCTATACAGAGGCTAGAGTGAATACCCACAGTAACTAAGGCTCGGCTTCTCCCTCCCTAGTGATGCGTTCATACTCAACGACACGCCCATCGCTTATTCCATTGTGAACAGAGACCTCAAAATAAGATTATTTTCCAGCCTTAGCTTTTCCCACCCGGTTTAATTCTAGGCCGCCTGAGTATACATAATAATATTGAGCTCTTTTCACCTTAAAGATCCAGAGAAAACAATTGTAGTAGTGCGAGCAACCCATCTCGGCATTTTATATATCATTCTCTTCCCCTTTACACTCAAAGCTGGAGTGATTGATGTTGTTCCCACAATCCAGCCCTCTCTCCTACCGCTGTCGCCGCGTAACTTTATGCATTGGAACGTTGTGGCTCAGACGGCATAAGCTGACTCCCACCCGCTACTACACCAAAATATCTTTACAGCAGAAGCCAGGTCGAATCACCTGTCCTCGTTATAATCTGCGATGTTTACCCAGAGTAGTATCCTTAAAAGTTTGGAAACAGTGCAAATTATCATAACTTTTCAGTCTGTAGATAACGTCCTTACTTGTGGTGCAGCTACCGTCCAGTTTGATACTCCGCCACCTCAGAATTCCTCGACAAGTTCAGTCCAAAGCATCTTTGAGCTTATCGAGCTTGCTTTCTCCTCCCTCACATTGTACTGCTCTAGTAGATTAGCTGATACCACTAAATTTCATTACAGTGTCCTGCTTCCCTAGACCAATTTCTTTGCGCAAAGCTCCACCGAGATCTCCCTCTCTAACTTCCATGAAAATGATTCAAGCCTGTCTTGTCTACCAGTACACACTCGTTTAAATGGATCAACGCCACAGGAATAGATCACTCTATCGTTTCTTTCAGCCACCCCACAAATCCGCACAACAGCGTGATGCACTGTGGCCTGGCAGTGTAGTAGGCATATACACTACTGGCTTTATCACTAAACGGCTTAACCCAGTTGTTTTACTTATTCCACCGTCTTGAATCTGCTTCTATCTAGTGCTGTTTTCTGGACTTAGTTTAAACAGCGGTTGTCTGTTGCATACCTGCCTGATCTGATTGTGTCGTATTACTTTCACTGACGGGGTAAAATATATTGCAGCGTTGTCCGCAAATTACCTTGGTTTTTCGAGAGATTCACCTGGAACCCAGCTGAATCTCTCGTTTGTGATGTTTCCAGGCAACTGAATGTACTGCACCGGGCCGCCTCATGTTTCAGTCTGGTGCAGCACATTCAGCTGCCTGGAAACATCACAAACGAGAGATTCAGCTGGGTTCCAGGTGAATCTCTCGAAAAACCAAAGTAATTTGCGGACGAGTGTATATTCGCTAATTTTGTGCAATTTGGTTTCAAGTAGAACATAAGGTAGACGGAAACTCGGGGACTGCGCCTACCGGATGAGCCCCGAGAAGGGCGAAACCGATCGCGGGCTGTCGGCGAATTTTCAGCAACCTTGAGTAGTGCATTACATATTGTAGAGTAGCTTACTAATACAAAAATCGTAGCTAAGACTGCTATACGGTTCTCTGCCTTGTGAATCTGGTTCCATTCACATGAATAATAAACTCATGCGGTGGTTGGGCACGCCTTATGGGGGCAGGTTCCATGAAGTGTTGCATCCATATGCATACGTAAGCTCGCCACACTCCAAGTAGTACGGGTGATCCCTTTAGTGCCGGGGTTCGGAGGTAATTCAGAAAAAGGAGTCGTCGTGGCATGCCTGAGCTGGTGGCTAAAGCCTGTTCTGGTTCCAGCATATTTTATAGGAATTCCTTTGAAAAATTCCAAACACAAAATATAGCAAATTCAAAAATGCTGTCTCATGTACCACTGAGACGAACTGAAGAAAAGTCGAGAAACGCCTAGGACACAAAGCGTAGGCTCTGACTGCTGCCGAGATCACTTCACCTCCCAAATAAACAACGCGACCAGGCGCTGGACATTTTCTTGCGACCGGATGGACCAATGGATCTAGTCTTTAACATAAGACAATGGGTTTAACGAAAGCCACTGATGGAATGTCCAATCGAACACCGCTTCAAAGTCAGTGTATGCGACAACAACCTGGCTACCCGCGTCCACTGTCTGGATAGCAGCAGATTTAAAGCACATGACCCTTAAAAGAAACACTTGCTGTTAAGGCGACGCTGTTGCATTTTGCATTACGCTCTCCACTACTGAAGAAAGAAAGGATGCGAGACTGACTGGTCAGTAATTACCTAGATTCTATGCATCCCCTCCATTAAAAGTTGATCTCAAAGCCATAATCCTCCATTCCGTCAGAAACCGATCACAATCTAAGGACTTTCTGACCAACAAAGACAGTGGTCCAGAAATGGATCTCGCTAGGAGGTAGTGGGTACAGTCCATCCTGACTAAGGGGAGCTTCACCATCCAAGACTGACTGACTCTTCTCCATCTTTTCGTTTGTAGTATCTAGATCGGTCGGAATTTCGTCAGTCAGGCAGTGCATACACGTTCAGGCTTCTTTTCAAATGTGATGAGTGATGCATTTGACTGTTGAAGCTCTCAAGCCTTCCCTTCGTCATAATACATTGGTTCAGAAGGCACAGTCACCTGCCGAACTTTTTATTGATGCTTGATATGATGTTGTTGAGAATTGAATGGTTTCGAGCGGAGAGTGAAAGGAAGACAGGAGAGAACAGCTTAACGTACGCTTTAATAGTTTAATAACGATAGTACATGAGCTGAAAATATAGCGATAGTTACCAGTCAATGATACATGAAAAATATGGTTTTTAATCACGACACTCACCCCAACTTGGAGTCAGTGGCGAATGAGTCTGCAACAAAAAACAAAAGATGTGGTAGTTACGCGGAGTTGTTCATGCCTGTCTGTTGCGCAGATTATATGGGTGAGTGCGCTGTTGCTGTATAAGAATATCCAAGTGGTTTCCTGAGTCTGCATCAGAATGCCATGATTAGGCATTGTCAACAGGCAATATTTCGATTTTAGACTAAATCACGGCACATTGATAGTGTTGGGTGAGGTTCCTCTAGCTCAGTAACATGCATTGGTTCCAGTTCTGCGTCGAAAGGATCACATGTCAAGACGTTGTCTCTAGGAGCCAAGAGGCGTAGGAATATGGTTTCGTTTTCCATATGGACGAACTATATGACCGCACTGTGGCTTAGAAGAGACAAGCTCCACTTCCTCTTCCAGACGCTCGATCGGCTCATAGATAGTAAGAATCGGCATGTGAACTGTACGATACATTCATGGGGCGTACAATTGATACTAGCAAATGAGAGGGATCAGGTACAGTGGACAGCATCCAGAAGGATAACCACCCCATGTGTGGCAAGCAGGTTGAGAGGTGAACGAGACTGATGGTTTTCCAAAGGGTCTAACTGAGTTGTTCCATCAGACCGTTAAACTGTAGATTATGGGCAGCGGTTAACAATCAAAAACGGTTTGATTTCTGGTGACATGAGCGTACACACCAAACAGTGAAGGCAGTTGACCCAAACAACGAATTACAGTGGGAGAGGATGAGCACTTCGGGATGATTGTAGTAAGCTAGCACTAAGTCTCTTCCCCGTCTACCTGTATTCTTTTCTTTAAAATCATCATCATCATCATCGGCAGCATGACATCAGTGCTGAACACCAATGCTTAACTGCCGTACAACCATGACTTATTTGAAAGTCTTATTGTAAAGAAAAGAATAAAGGTGGATGGGGGAGGGACTTAG